ACAGTCTTTAGCCCCAGGCCTGACGGGATAGCCAGAGTTTAAGGGCTGTGCGGAAAGTCTGGAGGGTACTGTATTAAAGAGTCACAGCATTCGGAAGGTTGAGAACCACTGTTCTAGAGTCTCAACATCTTTTTTACATCAAGGCGACCAAGACTGGATTCCACGTGTGGTCTTATCAAGGCATTATAAAGTGGTATGAACACTTCACGGGATCTTGATTCACGATTGTGATCTTGACTCATGATCGTTCTTGGAGCAACCCCCATTCAAGAATTGTGGTCTATTGATGAGCCAAAGAAGGCTTTTCACTTCTAGAAGTCAGACTTTGTACATTGAGAAAACCTCTTCTTTCTCAGATAGGAAGTTGGAGCATTTTAATGGTGTATCTAAGATAGCATATTAAATGCTTTCTATTAAAGAGGCCAGCTTGCTATGGCAACCTGATTTTGAAGTCCAGATCACATGGGTTGCTTCTCCCACTTGCCAATGTGCTCCCTTGCCACTCTCTTCTGGAAGAACCCCTAACTTCTTCTGGATTTCAACACCTGCCTGCTTTTGAAGTGGAGCCTTCTTATTGCCCTCACCAGATGCTCACACACACTGAACTCATTTCTATTCCATTCCACTGTCTTGATTCAGTCTTGGAATCGCAAGTTGAAAATGACCTCAGCCTTACTTCGTGCACGAATCTTTCCCCACAAGAATGTAAATACTTGTACAGAACCCTATCCAGAGGGGCAACAGTCACGGAGATGAATTCTAACCCTTGCTGAAACCTACACGTTATGTTGTAATTTTGAAGAGGTTCCATGCAGAAATAATTGCCAACTTGGCTTGGAGATGGCCTGGCTAGGTCCAGTCTAGGACTTTCTTCTAATTAAATGCATACTTGCTTGTATCTGAGTAAGCACATATGCATACTGAGTATTTGCACACATGGGATTGTTTGTATGCCTAGACTGTCTGTGATTTATTTCCTTTGGCAAAAGCATTCTTGACTAGTTTTGCAATTCTGTCAAGGGGATAGAGTAGAAGATTAAACCAGAAATTTCTGAAAAATGTCTACATCCAGGAAAGCTTTCTTGGCATGGGGCTGCCCCAAATCCCAACCAATGCAGAGAATTCCAGAGGATAATTTAGGATCAATTCATGCACAATATTCTTCAAGAGGTTTGAATGTTGCCATCACGTACTATAAAGTCAGATTGCAATTTGGAAAGCACGTCCAATCCTAGGTATGGTTTAAAAAAAATAATGGTCCAATTTATAACTGTTTGCCATTGCTGCCTTCCACAACTGGAATTTATAATAACCTTCAAATTGTTACTATAAACCACCAGAACAATCCTATCACTAAGGGAGCCAAAGTTTCATTTTACTACCCGAGGGGTTGCTAGAGGCAATTTTCTTTCCCCATCCAATAATGTCCCGGAGGCGACATTGGAATGCTGCTTTCGCACATTTTTGTGAGGTCTGTCAAATCTGTCATGTTTTCCCCCCAGAATTCCCCACAACAAGCATCTTAGGAATTTGGGGGAAAGTGAAAAGACGGGGTAAAACTCTCGAAACTTTCTTTGTGAGTTCACTACCTGGAATTTGTGTTCAGTCTCACTTGTTACCTGTATTGGCACGTGGGAATGACCTTGGGGAATGGGAGGAAGAGCCACAGTCCAGACCAAGGGTTTCCAACCAGGGGTGGGTTGCTGCTGGTTCGCTTTGCGTGCGCATGCGCAGTTGAGTGTAAATTGTTATGTGCATACACAGAACATGAAAAAATGATTACAAACCAAGCCAGCAGCGCACAGGAGGACTGGTTAGGGGGGGTGGCCAGCCTGCCATCCCTACCAGTTTGGCGACCCGGTCCCAATTTCCACTACCGGTTTGTGCAAACCGGTAGCAACTCACCTCTGTCTCCAACCTTGGCAACTTTAAGCCTGGCAAACTTCAACTCCCAGAATTCCCCAGCCAGCTGGCTGGGGAATTCTGGGAGTTGAAGTTCGCCAGGCTTAAAGTTGCCAAGGTTGGAGACCCCTGGTCAAGACGACAGCCTGATCAATGAAATTTGGATCTGAAAGAGGAAGGGTGGCAAAAACATCCCTCAAAAGGGATCTTCCTTAATTTTTGAGAGAGAGATGAGACTTGCAGGATTCTGTTCATTTAATCTTACTATAAAGACAGAGGTCGTAATCCTGGTTGCGCAGGCAGCCCTCAATTTACAACAGTTCATTGAGTGACCATTCAAAGTTGCAATGACGCTGAAAAAAGTGACTTATGACCGTTTTTCACATTTGCGACCTTTGTGGCAGCCCCATGATCACGTGATCAAAAGTCAGAGGCCTGGCAACTGGTTCATACTTACGACCGTTGCTGTGTCCCAAGGTCACGTGATGACCTTTGGCGAACTTCTGACAAGCAAAATCAATAGGGAAGCCAGATTCACTTAAAAAATCATGTTACTAACTTATCTGCTGCAGTGATCCACTTAAGAAAAGGTCATAAAATGAGGCAAAACTTACTTAACAAATGTTTCACAGAACAACAGAAATTCAGGGCTCAATTGTGGTCATAAGTCGAGGACTACCTATACTTCTTGCCTGGTCTACCTTGCTAGGCTAACATTGCCACTCATCGCTAAATGCTATTGCTCAGAGTTTTAATTTTCAGACTTTCAGCTTGTCCTTATATTAGGAGGTTTAAAGTAATATTTCCCGGCAAGAGATAAATGTCAATATGTTCTTATTTATTTTTGTATTTTTATCCCATTTTTCCTCTTGGGAGTTCAGCCAACATAGAGTGCGGGAAACTCCTCTGATGTTTCCATACGGACGTTGTGTGAATTAATTGGGCTCAGAGAGAATGGCTGACTTATAATCAGGAGATGCTCACTCGCTCTAGTTCCGCTCCACCACGCATGCGCCTCTCGCTGGTCTTTGGGTCTCTGGTGTGCATGCACGGGGGTGGGGGCATGTGTGTGTGGGTATGTGTGCATGCAATGAGATTGGAGTGCTTGCGGGGGGCTATGTGTGCAGGGGCTGCGCAGGCACAAGTGCAGGGTGCATGCATGGGGGCTATGCGCATTGCAGTTTGGGGGGTCAGGTGTGCATGCACGCATTTGAGCACTTTAGGCACTTGGTCCGGAAAAGGTTAGCAATCACTGGTATAGGGTTTCTTGCACGAGCAGAGGGTTGGACTAGAAGACTTCCAAGGTCCCTTCCAACTTATTCTATTCTATTCTATTCTATTCTATTCTATTCTAAAATGGATGATGTATCTCCAAAAAAACATACTGAATCCCACAATCCGTTCAAGCAATTAAATTCACCTGCCAATTACTCTCCTTATTCAACACCTACAATTTCAACATTTGGGGCAGAAGGGATGCATTGAGTAAATGTACCTTCTGTTTCAGTTGCAGGACCGTCTGTTTGATCTGGTGGAATTCTCGGCAGGAGGCACAACAAGCCCCTGGCTTCACCACATTGTCCACCTTCTCAGAAAAGCCTGCTTTAAAGAAAAAAAAAGTGGGAGGGAAGGAGAGTATTTCAGTACAACCTTTTTCTTCTTTTCTGAATTAGAGATAAGACTAGGAAGAGGGCAGGAAAATGCCAAAGGAAGCTGTGCACTTTTGAAAAAGTTCCTCCTTGATCATTCCGTGAGAAGAAAGGGGTGTCCTCTGTTTTAACAGCTTTTCCCGTGAATCCTAACGAATGCCTGGAGAGCTGCAAAAAGTCTTAGCAGCAGCTGTTTCCAGTTAGCAGCTCTTAATGCCTCTTAGAAAACTCCTTTTATATCTTAAGGGGGGGGGAGGATGTCCTTTTCCACTTTTATCTAAGTCTTTATTGTAAAAATGTAAAATGCGAACGATTCAGTGTGATTTATCAGCTCCCATTAAGAGGGAAAATTTCAGATACCAAAAATTGTGACACGGTAACTTGTGCAAGGAGAACTGCCTGAAGTTTGCACAAACGCAAGCCTTATTGCCACCAATGTGCAAGCGAGACTTCTGGAGTAGATATAGGGCAATGGTTGAAAGTAAAAAGGGAATTCTACAATCAATCTGACATTATGTATGTATCAAGTCCTTTCTAATGTGGAAAAAACATAAATAGACTAAGCACTTTCTGTCCTAAAAGAGCATGTTTTTGTTCTGTCCCCGCCCCCCATAACTTATGCATCTTCAGCAATTGTGCTAACTACTTATAATGTTGTTTAAAAGATTTGGCACAACTGTGTAATGCTCAGAAAATTATATTTAAGATTTCAAAAGCCTTACAAAAATAAATAAATGAATAAATAAATAAGGATTTAATAGAAAATGAAGCTTTTTCTTTCTATTTGGAGAATCAAAAAAATAAGTTACTTCCTAATTCTTTCCAGTATGAAGACATTCATATTATTGATAGTATGAAAAATGGCAAAATACCAAGGCTTAGTGGTTTTCTTACGGACTGATATAAAAATGCTTAAGTTTTTTCCCCCCAAGATATCTGAGTTTGATACATCATCAGTTTTTCTTAATAATTCTTACATGGCAATCTGTTACCAAACCAGATAAAGATAAAACATTTTTTCCTAAAAGAGCAAATTTTTGTTCTGCCTCGTCCTCCCAGAACTTATGCATCTTCAGCAACTGTGCTAATTACTATTTATATATGTTTGGATGCATTCTACTGCAATGACATAACAATACCATGTTTCCCCAAAAATAAGACAGGGTCTTATTTTCTTTTGACTCCTGAAATAAGCACTTGGCCTTATTTTCAGGGGAGGGTTTAATTTAACAATTGCGCGCAAAAGTCCGATTGGGTTTATTATCCGGGGAGGTCTTATTTTCAGGGAAGCCGGATATAAAGTGGAAACATATGATGCATTAACTATTAAAAATAAATACAGATGAATTGCTGATGTAATCTGTCAAATGTGAACCATAACTATTGACAACATCCACTTATTTTGCATCCAGTGGCAAAAAATTAAACATATAAACTCCATAAATGAACAAGTCATTTTCATATTTTTTTTAAAAAAAATCACGACAGGGTAAGAGGGAAAAGGAAATCTTATCTCTGATGGTTTGAACTCTTGCTTCACTTCTTACCTTTTTCCAACTCAGAATTGCTTTTATGCTTTAAAGTCAGTTTCCTTAAATTGAAAGGATCAGAAACTTGATTTTTAGAGAAGATAAAAGCTGACATTTTACAGATGTTGAGTTCTGGCTCTGTGATCAAGGTATTTAAAGCAATAGTTTGTGAATGCAGTAATGGAAAAATATACAGTCTTCCTATATAGGCTCAATACAAGATGCAGATAGATCCTTCGATCAATTTCAGGCCAGCTGCTCTCTCTCCAATAACCTTGAGTTAATGGCATCTTAATCCCAACTAAGTGTCAGTACCTGGGAATCTGGAAGTTATAATGAGCTGTGCTGGCACAGTGGTTAGAATGCAGTATTGCAGGCTAATTCACTGCTCACTGCCAGTAGTTCAATTCTCACTGGCTCAAGGTTGACTCAACATTCCATCCTTCTGAGAGCAGTAAAACGAGGACCCAGATTGTAGGGGGCAATATGCTGACACTTTAAAACATTCAGGAGAGTGCTGTAAAGCACTATGGAGCAGTATATAAGTTTAAGTGCTATTGCTATAAGCCCAGCACATTTAGAAGGTACCAGTTGAAGACACGGGACTGTAGGACGGCAGGCATTTGTTGTCCTCTCCAAAATGGTTTCCTAGAGAGAGAGGCTATTGACTAACATAACCAACCTGTTTCTAAACTTCCACGCATAATGATGATTTGCAAAATCTCAGTAAAACTGAGCACTGAGATTTTAGGGATACTTAATTCTACAGCACACTTTATAGAAGAGTGGAAAAGCAGCAACCTGAATTATAGAGTAGCTTTTTAACTTTTAAGATATGCAGTCTCTAATGTGATAAACTACAATTATTATTCTGACAATATAAAAAGCTGATGTGATAGATCAGCAAAGTTATTTTCTCTTCTTTTCCTGAAAGCAAAGTTTCTGCTCAGATAATAGACTAGGCTAGATCAGAACAGATCTTACTGGGGAAATATTTCTATTTAATGGTTCCTCTGTAGAATGCCATGTTCTTTTCTTCAAGGAATATTGGGTGTTTCACTATATCTTAACCATTAGTTTGAGCTTGTATGACATGCTAGTGTAGAGTTCAGAAGACCTAATAGTGAAGAAGAATCACAGTTGTTACTTGCGTTGTTTTATCCACAATCTTACATATCACTGCTTATCTCCAGTGGCTGCTTAAGGATGAACAATCCATAACTACAGTACAGGTAGCTAGATTCTTCGCAGCAGCCCTGGGAATTTGTTGGAAATACGTGTCTAATCCACCAAAGCTATTTTATACAACAAATGTGGCAAACCCTTTGCACTGCTTATTTATTCCTTTTCCTTTCAGTATTAAACTGACAAATTGGCCACACAGTTTATGGATGGTAATTTTAGTATAGTTAGACCATGTATAATTGACAGACTGGGTTTTATCATAGATTTTAGTTGTTATTTATTATTTTATGCTAGAATTTTTAAACTGTATATTTACTGAATGTTTTTATTTGTTCTGGTCTCTGGTCTATACTGTAATAAACTGAATTGAATTGAATCTTGGTTTGGATGATACAGTAAATATAGTAAGTCAGACTAAAATGTGACTTAATGGATAAATGCTATCTGCAGTGTTGTCTAATGTGATGACACCAAAAAGACATGTCCATAATATTTTTAAAGTCTTAATACCACCACTGGCTTAATTGTCTTAATACCATCACTGCACATTTGCATCTCAAGCTCTGGTTAAATTAAATAAATCATAATATTTGCACAGTGATGTCATCACACGTATTTCATCATCGGTCCTTCTTGCCCTTCCCAAGGAAGCCCGTGAAAATCTGTGTGATGTCATAAGAAGTTGCATCCTTTGATGTCGACCTGTAGCTCCATTCTAGTTAGGAAGCTGATGGACCCAGGTTGCTGAGGCTGCTAAGTGAATTCTGTTTGGTGAAGGGCAATAAATTACACATCCTAAGCCTTGAAACCTAAATCTTGTCTCATTATTTTCGGCTGCCAGAAAGTAGTTTGCAATGCATTCCTGCTCATGGGAGGTGATTAAATTTGCCATCTGTCTTGTATTAGCTACACTGTGCCTTCATTTGATGATTAGCTGTGCTTTATTATCTGGGTAATATGGAAGTAAGAGTCCTCATGTCACAGAGATGTTGTTTCTTGCTCTGCAAAAGTTGAAAATATTTCTGAAGCCCATGAGAGGCAAACAACCTTAATGCTATAAACATGAATTTATTGTAAGTTCTAACTGAATGGAATAAGATTACAATAGGTAGATGTTCTTAATAGGCTATCAATAATGCAAATTGTTTATAGTTTCCTGAAAGGTAGATACTTAGATCTACCACTAGGTGGTACTCAAAGTAGAACGTTCCAAACAATAATTATCAACTGGAGGGAACTATATTTTAGTACTAACCATGTGCTGGTTTGAAATTCCAGCTACAAATGATTAACAATTAATCGTTTTGTTTTATTCAGTTTATTCCATGCGTACTGCCTCAGCTTATTCCTGGTTTCTATATGAAGCTTTTATGACCAAACTGCCTCAGTTCATAGAAGATCAGATGATGTTTCTTATCCTATGTATGTATGTACGTACGTACGTACGTACGTACGTACGTACGTACGTACGTACGTA